GATAGAATCATTGCTTTAAGTGTTTAGGATCCAACAAACACGTGAGAAAGAATATAAAAAGTAGTAGCTTGTAACTGCACCTTGCCACTACCCTGAGGGCCAGACTCAGCATTCCATGTGCCTTGTCTCTTTTTATCAATTGCTTTTTGTTGAATACCCACAAACTTTTTTGTTATAATGTCAAATTGCTTACCTAGTGTTTTTGCATGTTTTTGTGTGTATGAATGTGTATGCATGTGATATATATATATATATATATATATATAGAGAGAGAGAGAGAGAGAGAGAGAGAGAGAGAGAGCTAAGAGAGAGAGATGCAAAGGCCTCATTTTAATATCAGAATATAATATATATGATGCTATATCATAACACAACACAAGCTTTAAAATTTCAAATATTTTTAAAAGTCCACAGTCTCTTTAAAATGCCCCGTCTTAGTGCTGTTGCTCATAGAATTTCTTTTTTCTCTCTGTGACTGGATTCCTTGAGTTCGGCCTGGTGTTTGGCTGTGGATCTCTGCATCTGCTTCCATCAGTTACTGGATGAAGGCTCTGTAATGACAGTTAGGGTATTCACTGATATGATTACTGGAGTAAGCCAGTTCAGGCACCCTTTCCACTATTGCTAGCAATGTAAGCTGGGGTCATTCTTGGGGGTTCCTGGGAACTTCCCTAGCACCTGGTTTCTCCCTATCCCCATGATGTTTCCCTCTATCCAGGTGCATGAGCAGACTTTTTGGAGTTCACTACCTATGATGAGACACCTTGCACAGCCTTGAAGCAGGGGTAGGGGATTGGACCTGCCACTACTAAATGTACCTCCCCATGGGAGGTCTTATCTTCTTGTAGGAAGGAATGGGGGATTGGAAGGAGGGGGAGGCTGGAGGGGCAGGAGGAGGGAAGAGGGGAATCTTTGATTTGTATGTAAAATGAATAAAAAAATCTAAAAAAAAGTCCAGTCTCTTTTAAAAGTGAGCTCCTATAAAACAAATACAAAAAAATTTTACATATTTTTTTATTCCAAAGGGGAAGACCTGGAGTACAAAAACAATCACACTTGAAAAAAACTAAGATGTAGCAGTGTAAGCCTAAATTCTATAGCTCAATGTATAACATGTAGGACTCAATTACTGTATTGTCTTCTAACTCTAAATGTCTAAGATAGTCCCACTACTCCACATTTTCCATCATCAGCCACACATAGTTGTCTCACATGTTTAGTCCAGCTCCAGCTCATACCTGATACTATCCATAACAGATATCCCAAAATCGTGAGGTCTCCATTTGCAAATGAAGCATATCTTCACCATTGCCTTTTCATGGGCTCTCCATGGGGATTCCAACCCTACCACACAATGTTAGGTTTCATAAGCTCTCCATGACCCCCTTGATGTTGCATGTTCCAAATGAGGACCATGTGGGGACTCTTATACATTATCATGTTCAGCTTCCAGCTAGAGACACAACCTGCTCTTCTTGAACTAGTTTTCTAAGGAAATGTTTTCTTAGTTTCCCAATGAAGCAGAGAAGTTTTCACCCGTAGAGTGCTAATCTCTTGTTAATCACAGCTGATTTTTCAGCTGCAGATTGTTTAGCATTCCAATGTCCAGTGAAGCACAGGTTTGAGCTCTGTGGAACCTTTCTCCTGTGAATCAATGATTAGTCTTTAGCTTAATCTGATCAGGACATACATGATGAAAGTCCAGGACTCCACGTCCCTATTTCCCTCAGCACTCATACCTCCCAAGCTCCCGCTAGGACAACTCAATAAGATCTGGACAATTTTCCAGCACAAAGTATTCCACAATCCCCTGGAAACAATACAGTCAAGATCATCACAGTAACATCCACTTCTCTGGTACCAGTTTCTGTTCTTATTTAATTTTTGTTGCTGTGACTGGCACCATGACCAAAAACAACTTAGGAGAGGAAAGTTCTTATTTAGCTTAAACTTTCAGTTACAAGTTACAATCCAGTATGGAGGGATGTCAGGGCTGGAACTCAACATGGTCTTGGAGCAGGAACTTTGCATGCATGCTACTTGCTGGTTTGTTAACAAGCCGTTCTGATAAAGTCAATCCCTTAATTGGGAGTTCCTACTCAGGTTTCTCTAGGTTGTGTGAAGTTGACAGGAAAAGGCCACTAGAACAGAATGCATGTAATGTTAAGTTTCTCCAGTCATTCCTAGAATACTTTAAGTAAAAGTCACTTTATTTTTTTTTTACACGTATAAACATTTTAGTGTGTGTGTGTGTGTGTGTGTGTGTGTGTGTGTGTGTGTGTGTGTGTACATCTTTGTGTCCTATTGGGCACAAGTATAAGTGAGAAGACAATTACCAGAAGGTTCTATCTATCATTGTGCTGGTTCCGGGATTTGAATTCAAATTCTCCAGCTTGATGGCAAGTGTCTTTGCCTGCTTGAACCATTTCAACGGCGCAAGTTGTTTACATTTGGTTGCAAATTGACTTATACCTGGAATAACAGTTGTACAGAGTTGAAGAACTTATGGAATGAAAATGGTTTCAGCTATTTTATACTCAATATGGATGCTTTTATATTTAAATAGTTTTTAGATTGATACATTATCTCAGGTTCTAAAATGAATTAGGCTGGTTGATTGTTATATCCCTAGAATAAATGAAGCCCAAAAATATGTTAATCTCCACAGAAAAGATTATTAAAAAGACCTAAATTTTACCACTGCGTTTATTCTTAAGGAAAAAAATTTCCTCTGCTTTTTGCTTCATTTTTCTTATTTTTAGATACAAGTGATCATGAAACCTAGTGTCATAATACAATTTATTAAAAAGATGCTATTGGTATTTAGGAAGAAACTATGGCTGAAATAATTTCTAGCAAAAATAACAATACGGCCAATTTGTATGGTTTATTTGTTAATTTAAAAAACTATGGATCAGAGTGAGATATATGAGTATCCCCTTGTCCTCAGAATGGCTGCTTTATGAACAGAAGCCTCTATGAATGATATATTATTCAAATGTTCTTTTTTTAATAAAAATGCTAATGGAAATGTTAAAATGCACATAAATTAAAATGCTCATAAATTAGGATTAATATCACATTAATGAATTATAATCCTACATTCATTAAGATAAAGTGGCGTTTCAATATTTGTTCTTGTTCATAAATTTAATACAATAAATGAAAGGGATACACTTTGAGATTCAATAAATATTTGATGTAATCTTATGCCTCAACTTTTAAAAATATTCAAAGTTAAAGCAGGAGATCTCAATGTATTTAGGCTCTTTGTTGCTATTTTATGTCTTTTTCATAATCTTTTCTTTTCATTTATTGAAGCGCTAAATACAATTCAAATTGGAGAGGAAAGCGATAGAGCCTGTTCTGATTAAAAGGAATCCCAGGAACACACAATGCCTTTTGAATTTGTAGGAGTTTCTTTCGACAACACACCTACTTGTTTAAGGAAAAAATACTTTATATCTCTAGGTGCAAAAAATTAGGACTCTGTTGGCAGTTAAATAAGAGAGTTAAACAGAAATATGTGCATCTAAGCATTATTTCACAATGTTAATTGCATAATTTCTTTTACAAATGCAAGATTCTAAAATAACGTGCACTTATTTAGATTTGTATTATGTGTGTGACTGTTTGTCTATGTGTACATACATGAACAACTTACATGCACGGTGCCCATGGAGGTTAAAAGGGGACATCAGATTCCCTGGACCTGGAGTTATAGATGGTTGTGATCCACCATGGGAATCCTAGGAATTGAACCTTGTTCCTCTCCAAGATAGTCCTTAACTGCTGAGCCATCTCAACAGTTCCCAAATAATCAACTTAATATTTTTTTAAATTAATTTATTTTTTAAAGCAGGAGTCTACATAGTGTCATGGGGGAAGCAACATATTGGAGTATTCCTAACTCCCTCTTGTGAACAAATTAAAAAAGTCTTCTCAACATGGGATTCTGCTTTACTCAGCACCTACCTATGTCTGTAAGGCCAAGACCTTACTTCATATTTAAACACTATAAGTTTTGTTCAATCAACAGTCATAGATGTGATATGTGATAGATTTGAATTCTTCTTGAAAAGCTGTCATTTTTCATGAAGTTATATTCTTTTGCTTGAAAATGTGCTCCTGTGTTCTATCATTAATAATCATTTCTATTATGTGGAATGATTTCCTGGATTAGAAAAATTGTTGAGAAGTAAAGAAAGAAACGAAAGTCTTTACTATATAATTTGAGTCGTTAGATTTTTTTGTTATTGCTGTTTTGCATAACTATAGCATCAATCTGTCTAAACTCTTGGGCCACTCCATCTGATCTTATCAAATATGAACCCTGCAGAGGTTATGAGCCATGTTGGCCCTCCAGTTTTAGGATCTCATACTAAATATCAACTCATTTAAACAAAATTTAAGGAGATGTTTGTATTAAAACTGACTTATGGTTCCTGCCTCATTGTACTTCATAAAAGGCAATAATAGCCGGGCGGTGGTGGCGCACGCCTTTAATCCCAGCACTCGGGAGGCAGAGCCAGGCGGATCTCTGTGAGTTCGAGGCCAGCCTGGACTACCGAGTGAGTTCCAGGAAAGGCGCAAAGCTACACAGAGAAACCCTGTCTCGAAAAACCAAAAAAAAATAAAAATAAAAAAAAATAAATAAATAAAAGGCAATAATAATAACATTCTGTGTGTGAGTGTTTATGTGTATCAATTAGTCAAAAAAGTATAGATGAAATGTGTTTTCTATTCTTTCTCATCCTTTTGAAACCATGTGAATTTATATTAAACACATTTGAACACTTTGTAAAAGCTGAACTGGTGAAGCTCATTACATTTTAACATAACATGCTGTGAATAAAACTATATATTATTTGTACAACTTTACTTAGCAGAGACTTAGGGGGTAGTGTAAAAGAATCAATTTGACAAGCAAGAGTCAGTTAAATCAATCAGAATATAATTTAACCATCTCCATAACTAACTACTGCTATTTTTCATTTTAGTTGCACACAGACTTGGATCCTGGAAGCAAAAAAATCAAGTATATCCTATCAGGTGATGGAGCTGGGACAATCTTTCAAATAAATGATATAACTGGAGATATCCATGCTATAAAAAGACTTGACCGAGAGGAAAAGGCTGAGTATACACTAACAGCTCAGGCAGTGGACTGGGAGACAAACAAACCTCTTGAGCCTCCTTCTGAATTTATTATTAAAGTTCAAGACATCAACGACAATGCACCAGAGTTTCTCAATGGACCGTATCATGCTACTGTGCCAGAGATGTCCATTTTGGGTATGTATGCTTCCAATTTCACAGACCTGTTAAGAGTCATTTTTTCAAATAGCTCTCGGCATCAGGGATGGTATGTTGCTGAATAAAAGACATTTATTTCCTACTTATCACTCATTTGCATTTCCAAATCCCCTTTCTTGGCCTACGTTCCACAGCTCAATAACTTTAGTCCCTTAGTGATAGAAAGTGACAGAGGAGTGGTTTTATTAAAATACTGCTCCTTATGCAGCAGTATTTCAATAGGCTAAATTTGTATTCCTGTCATAGGCAAGTATTGTTACTGAGATGGATTTATCAAGATTTGTTCCAACATGACAGGATAATCCTATTGATATTTGTTTCATGTTTAATTATTTGTTTGTGTATATTCACATGCAGATGTAGCACACAGAGACATAGAAAACAATTTAGGACTAGAGTTATGCAGATACTGGCCTGAGCAAGTGAGCAGAGTCCACAGTGGATTATACAGTCACTCTTACCAATGAGTTTTTCTTTTTATGGCTCATTTACCTTAACCTTATGGTGTGTACAAATTATTGCTACTACCATTCACTTACTCCTTTCTCTGAATCATTGATGCATTTATTACCTAAACAGCAAAGCAAAATGCTTTTCAGAATATGATTTTAACTCCTCTCTCCTGTAGATCTTTTAAACTATTTTTCAACCCAAGCTTTGATATAGAAGCCGCCAAATCTCAGACTATTTATGATAAAAGGAGAGTTTTCAGATCTCTTTCTTGCCTGACAGGTCAGGAGGAAAGATGCTAAATTCAAAGCATAGTATCACAAAAGTCGTTTCTGCACATGCGATATACAGCCTAGTTTGTTTCCAATTGCATTTAATGATGAAGATAACCAGCAAAGACAGATAGACTAGACACAAGTAAAAGTAACAAAACTGATTTTTTAAAAATATCAGAAAAAAAACCCACCAAAGATTAAGTGATTACAGAAATCTGAATTCATTATTTAAAGAGTCCCCCAATCTGACATTAAAGTTTCTGCCAGAGATTCGGATCAAAAACCCTGTTTCTAGGTTCTGTATCTCAGGAACGTGGCACAGATACAAACACCAGGAAGAAAGTTATAGATGGAAAACATCAACACAAAGATGGTAGACTTCAAGGATGAATTTATTGCTAATTATCAGGTACACATATCACCTTGTCCCTTATATTGCCAGTATGATCTTGACATGGTAGTTGCTTTTAGTTGCTCAGTCTTGGGTGTCAGCTGCCCGGTCAACATTTGGTCACGTACCCATTTTTAGTCACTTATTCCTATGGTTTGTTCATTGGGGTTATTGTTCCTTCCTCATACCTGTTTCTATTCTGTTTTTTTTCCTCTCTCCTTCTCCTTTACCTGTTTGTCCTTCTCCTATTCTTCGTCATCCCCCTCCTCCTCTTTTTCCTTCCCCCTCTTCTCTTCTTACTCTTTCTTTCTTCTTGTTTCAACCCCTCTAACTTCTTTCTTTTCTATTTACCTTTAATTTGTCAGCCTAGGTCTTCAGCCACTTGCTCTGTGTGGATAGCTTTAAAATCCCAACAACTGCTTCATCTGTCTGCTTAATTAAACCCATAGCCTACATGCTCACATGCTTCCTGTGTGTTTTCACATAGAGTCCCGAAGACCACCAAACACAATATTAAAAACCAAAATTATGACTTTTCTTTATATGTTTCTGATCCAGACTTCTACAATTTCTGTGTCCCAATACACACTGAAACTCCACATAAAACTTGAAAGATATGGGTCAATTTTTTTCTTATCAGGGGTTATACTTTTAAAGAAAACTGACCCTTTCTCTCCCAGCAGCCAATAACTGTCAATATCTCCTCATTTAGTGGTAGAGCTTCATGCCTATCTTCCCTTTTCATGCTGGAATGGATTGAGGTTAGCCTTCCACAGGCATTCTGTATGGTATCACACCACTGTGAGTTCATCTGTGCAGGTACCCTGGTCTGCCCAGAAGTCACCATTTCTTTGTAGTCATCTATCACCTCTGACTTTTAAAACCTTTCTGCTCCCTCTTCTGTAATGATCCTGGAGCTTCTGTAGGAGGCATGTGGTATATATATATATTCCATTTAGGACTGGGAATTCTGCAGTGCAGTCTTAATTGCTCACTTCATTCTTAGATCGAATCCTCCTAGATCAGACCCAGTGTCTGCAAATGGCTTATCTCTGTAGCCTGCATATGTTAACTTGATTAAGCATTATCTGCATTTACAAAGGAAATAATCTTCCATATAGTCCATAGCTCGCTTGCTCTCTCTCTCTCTCTCTCTCTCTCTCTCTCTCTCTCTCTCTCTCTCTCTCTCTCTCTGTGTGTGTGTGTGTGTGTGTGTGTGTTTTCCTTCACTGAATAAAAATACCCATGCTCCTTAGCCAGGGAGGTTTTGATGGCTTTATTTTCATTTGATCTCCTGTTCCATGCCAGCCTATAATAAAACTTGGGTAGAAACACCTATTTCAGCAGCAAATCAGAACTGATTTTAGCTCTTCATCTCTTACCCATATATTTCTCCTGCCAGGAACCCATTTTATCTACTTCTTATGAGAGGAATCCTATTTTTATTTATTTTTTCTGCTCATCAAAACTGAATGGTTTGCTCTATAGATGACCAAAATGACACATTTTCTTGGGGGAAACTTTTATGAATTCCTGGCCATAATGTACCTCTCCTCCATCAGCACCACCATAAAAATGAAGCACACAAACAAGCAGAAACATCCCCATCTCTGCACATCGTTTAAATTCTGAAGTACAAGCAGGAAGTGAGAAATGTTAGGTGATTTTTCTTTTCCTTTTACAACTTGTTTGATCTACTCCTTTAGGTCAAGAAACTTACCTCATTTGTCTTTTTATCTAGATTTTAGTAAGACAGTTCCTAAAAACAGAATTATCAGCACCTTTCAGAACACAGAGTGTGCTTAATTAGTGATATACAGTGAACAGGGCAACTGTGACAGTCCCATGCTACTGTTTCCTTTTCTTAAGGCCAACACTGTATCTGTTGGCTATAAATGTATCAGAGAATGCCCTTTCTGTGCATGTGTGTCACATGCCTGATAAACATGCTAGAGAATAGAAGTCCAGATATGTATACAAATTTCAAAGTTATTGTAGAGATGAAAAGTTATAAAAGGTGTTATTTGCTACAGAATGGCATGTGTATGTGTACCTCTCTCTCTCTCTCTCTCTCTCTCTCTCTCTCTCTCTCTCTCTCTCTCTCTCTCTGTTATCTTGTTTTCTTCTAAAGGGATAGACTTAAGTAATCGTTATATACACATACATGTATACTTTCCCTCAAATATACATACTGTACATATGCACATGAATGTTTAAATCCTTAATATGTAACAAATCTCCCCGAATTCACAGAGACTTTGTTGAAATTACCAGTGCAGATTTGTATCACTCTTTATTCAGGGGTTGATTGTGAAATTTTAAAAGGTGAAATTACGGCCTAGTTTTATTGCTGTTAAGGATTCCCATGCTTAAATACAAGGTAAAGGAATGCTTTAAGAGTTTGTATGTACCATTATTTGGTGCTTTGGTGTTGGTGAAATTGTTTTTATTAATGCATTCCCCACATTACATTTGTACATTCTTATATGTATTGATTTTAAGCAATGGGTATCTGGTTTTTGTTGGACGCTAATTTCTTTGGCTAAAGGAAGCAGAGGCAGCTATGCTGTTTTTTACTCAAGTGTGAATTATTCCTTTCATTGCTCATGAAGGTGACTCCTGGGATGAAGGTCATCTACTGTTTCCATTCTCTACCTATCACCACTGTTCTCTCTCATAGTGTCTCTTCCCTTGCTTCCTTCTTCTTTCATTTTCTTCCTTTGGTACTGCAAAAATGCCAGCACTTCACCTGCGCGTCCTGAGTAATGCCAGCGAGAACTGAGGGATTTCATTGAGCAGGAAGTGAAAAAAAAATAAAGTTCTAATTGAGAAATTTACTGATATTAAACTGAAATGAATGTGATGATGTTCCAAAATTGCCTGCAAGTTGGCAAGCATACACATACATACATACACACACACACATACTATGTATCTATATCTATATCTATTTGGATATAGATAGATATAGATATAGATATAGATATACACACACATACCCAAATGAAAGCCACATTAATTTAGAAATATCTTACTTGGAAGCTGGAGACCTGGTTCTTTTATATTCTACAGAGAATTTCAGAACTTGATGATAATTTGCTTCTAAAGCAAAGCTGTGTTGTGTGTGTCTTACTTTAACAGTGGAAACTGAAGTTACTTTTTAAGTTAAGTTTTGCCTGTATTTATTACTTCAACTAGTCAGTATATATCCTAATGATGTTGTATAATTGAGGTAGGGATGTTTTAACTCTGAATGTAAGTCTAAATCTGGATTGAGGTACATACAGCAAACTTCCTATTTGCTTTATGAATTGATTCTGGAGTTATTAAGTTCCAAATCTGATTTCCATTGTGAGAGTGACAAAGCTCCCATTTTAGGTCCACTTCATCTGCCTTGTACACACAGTAAATCCTAGCAGGAGGGTGCTTGGAGAATGTCAACCATCAAAGTGCTAACTGTGTACCACTTTGATATCCAGTACTGATAGCCAATAAAAACTAGTTTCTTTATCACCAATCTATGATTTACTGTTAGCAATATCATTCAATAAATTGATGAAAGCATGGTGAACACCACGATCAATGCAAACTTGTTCAACAACAATTAGTCTATGAATTTACATGTTCGAATGAAGATTATTTTTGTTTAAAATGGCATGTTAGTCAAAAGGTGCTAAAGGGACATGACAGCAGGTAGAATTTGAGCTGTGGGTCGTTGTTTCATTGCTGTTGATGCAGCTACAGATTACATAACACTAGAGGTCATTTCAGTTTCATTGCAGCCTAGGACTGCTCTAAGAGTGAATAATGTGCATTGAAAAGTTACCCCAGCTTAGCGTGTGTGTTAAATCCTTTTAATATCT